ATCTGACAGTGGAAAGAGGAAGATATGTTGCCGGGCGAACATGAGAGTACCGTTAGGTTGAATATGGCCTACATTCGTGATGCGATCTGAGCGTCAGTTAATTTGGAATTAATTAGGAATTCAAACAAAGCGAATGAATTTTTATCAGCCCATAACGAACATTTTTTAATTTTATAATATTGCATTTTTTGAAATTATTGTAGATGTTTGAATGAATCGTAAATTTATTTTCGATGTGGTCATAATAAATTTGTAATAAATATCCATATGTGAAACCCTTCCCTCTGAAATCGCTAGTAGTGACTGTAGTAATCTGTTTGATATGTCGTGCAAATCAACCGAAGTTGATAACAAATTGCGATGATATTTTTAAAGATTTATTATACGACATAATAATTTTAATAATTATACAATGGAAAAAAATATTCACTCGGCACAATCTGAAAGTCGATTTTCGATTCAACGGTACCAAAATATCCACATGTTGATTGGCAAACCCGAGAAGCAGGGTCCCTCCTATATTTTGACGTGCGATCTTCTTTGAGGTTTTAAGGAAAGCGAATCCTTTCGAACAAGTTTTCGAATGTGATCGTCTCGAAAAGCAAACTTAAAGTTAGGCTAGCAGGTTGCCTCAGTGAAGTTGAATCTATGCGAGGAAATGAACATTACTGCGGTGCATATTTGAAAGATCACAGATAATCTCCAAGACTCAATAATCATAGTTATTGTGAATATTACAAAATATTATTTGGATCAGTTGGTGGCAACAGTTCATTGCTCAGCTTTTTGCATTGTCGCGTTACTCATACGGAAGGTCGTTGAGGTTCTGTTTGCAACAAGAAATTGGTCGATAAAGTAGATGATCTGAAGAGAGCAGGATTGATTGCTGAGATGATTGGATTTGTGGTGGTGATTTGAAGTGGATATACACTGGATTTGCACAGTTCACGTAGCGATGCGGTCAACTGCTTCTTCCATTTCGTGCTGAAAGCAACATAATTTTGTTTTGCTATTCACTCATGTAAATTTGCAATTTTCTTCAGCTCAGCTGTAATCTGCTAAATTTTTCACAGACATTTCTTCCAGACTAGTTTTCGAAATGTTCAGCAATAAACAGAAGGTAATGTTGCCTGATCAAAACTGTCAGCAATACTTCAGTCAGATACTCACCGTCGGTTTTGAAACCAAGTCTTTATTTGGGTTTCCGTAAGTCTGAGACTCTTCGATAGATCAATGCGCTTGGAAACACTCAAATATTTATCGTGCTGAAATTTGCGGAATTCTGAATTAAACTCAACGCTTTCAAAACGTATATCGAATGCAACTTCGAATCATGTATCGAGTAANAATTGTTCGAATATCGAAAATTCAACCTGCGAAACCGAATAGCATCTGAAGTTGAAGAAGTGAAGGTGAGACACATTGCTGAACGCTCGATCCGTCAACTGCGATTGGTAATTGTGGAGCATATTCTACGTGTCCTTGAAAGGGCATAAAATCCCCTTTATTGTTTGAAAAGAAAATTTTTATCATCAGTCCAGTAGTCAGAAACAAATCAATCTAGTAGATTGTTTGTAAACCTGAACCTCACTCAGTTCGATTAATCATGTTGAGTGCAATCCACCACTGAGAAAATCAATGACAAATTTGATCAATTGGAGCGCAGCTCTACAAAAACAATGAGATGTTTCACGACTTACTTGAAGGGTATTCATCGTCAACGCCTTTGTCGTTTGTTTCATCTATTTCATTTGGAGTTTCTGTGAAATGCTCTGTTCTTGAGGTGTTATCCAATAGTGATGTTATATTGAACGCCATTTTCTACAAAAACACAAGAAACACGCTTATGAAACCAGAACAGCATGAAAGTGAACTCAAGAAGCAGATCGAGTATGTTAAGGTTGAACTGACAGTGACTGAACTGGGATATATTCATAAGAAGTTCAAGACCTTCGTTCGGCAACTTAATTTATAAACAGTTTAAGTCTTTTATGGAGATCAAACAGAAGATATCTGTTCAGAGCTGAATGTTCGTTCAGTCACAAGAAATTAAACTCTGATCAACTGTGAAGGCAAAGAATGAAATTTATGACGTTAAGACGAGATTGGCAATAAATTGGACAATGACAATGGCTAGAAGGAACTTCCATAAGCAAATGCTCGAAAGGTATAAGAGTGTAATACGATAATAAGCTTAATAACATCAATAAGAATACGGATACTAATAAGTGAATTGTAAATAGCTTCGTGAGAACCATAATTTATTGCGTCTCTTTCGTTTCATGCATTCAACTCACCATTAATGAGTATTCGACCGCTGGATATTTGTTTAAGCATGAAAGACTTCAATTTTGGATCGTAATTGATCATATCATCGAGACTGGTGTAATTGTATCCTGTTCAAATGTTCTAAACAAATCCTTAAAGTTCTAAATCTCCATACTCAAATGCTACAAACTCAACGGTATCGACAACTCTGTAGTTTATTGCGAACTGTTTATGACTTCCCAAGATATTTGATTGTATTTCGGATGTCTTTCTCATGCGCAACTTTCAGATGAAATACTCCAATAAAATGTGGAACGATAATTTACTGAATACCGGGTACGGAATTCGACGTTTTTTCTGAGTTGTAACGGCTAATCCAGTGGCAATGCCTTTATTTTCTTAAATGTTGCTCAATGGAAAGACTGTTCGCTTAACCTCCTTTGAAGAAGGGTTTGTTGATAAGCACAGTGCTTCAGTTAGAATAAGTTTGAATGCTTGAGCTCAAATGGCTATCATAAGTGATCAACTGGTAATGCGTTCATTAGCTAGAACATGACATTGGTCGGTTGAAGATGCAAGCATTCGTACGATAAAAGTTCACTTGATTAATCTC